AGAAGAGAGTTGTATAGATTACTGAAAATGTTCTCAAGACAAGAACCTCAGCTCTGTGTCAGCTGTGATGGCATCATCAGCTACAAGAGTGGAAACTCTGCCCCAATGCCAATGGGATCTAATGCGTTAGACTAAAAGAGCAAGGTGTCAGAGAACCCAGCTATGTACCAAGTGGTCCCAGGGCATCAGGGGTACCACAAGTCCAATTCTGACTAGTCAGAAGGGCAAACTCTCAGAGGGAAGCAAAGTCACTGAGGATGCCACACCAGCTGACATAGCCTTCACACAGGGAAAGGAACACCGTGGGGGAGAAAAGTTGAGATGCTGCCAAAACTTCCCTCCACTAGTGACCAGTGGCAAAGGTTACATAACCCCTCTGACCCCACTCCATCTGTAAAATGGGTGCAAAATTTAAATTACATGATACATGTATAAAACAGAACCTGATGTATTTCCCATAGTCCTTAGGGATTTCCCAATTTCTCTTGCCCTCTCATTACCATTCCATAGTCTCATGAGTTACATCTAATAAGTGTTCACTCCAGCTGACAGCAAGTATCCCACACCCATCCCTTCCAACCCTATCCAGGAACTGGGGCAGTGCAAGGCACGCTTTAGCTCCCTTTACTTGTCCCTCCAAAATGAGCACGAAGCCTAAACTCTTTTTTATGGCAACACTCACTGGGCACTCTCCAAAGGTAGAGCCAAATGCAAAGGCCAAAATGCTATGGTAAGACCAGCATGGCCGCAGACATGCAAACTCAGTCACACAATTCCGAGTGCCAGAACCTCCAAGAAAATAGGCTCACTTTCTAATAATGGCTCACTGTACTCCAGTGAAGTCTGGAGTGACTTGTCGTTATGACTGACTCACACACCCATTACCCCTGGGAAAAGCACCTGAAGAATAGTGCCCACAAAGCTACACAGTAAGCTACATTTTCACCAATTAGTGCCAGGAAAGCTTGCACTAAATAGACCTCAATCACACTCGAATGCTCCTCAGAGGCAGGTTCACCATACCAAATCACTACAAACACAGCTTTTGCTGGTTAGTTTTATGTTAACTTGACATAAGCTATAGTCATGTGAGAGAAGGGAACCTCGAATGAGAAAATGACTCCATAACATAAGGCTGCAGGCAAGCCTGTAGGGCATTTTCTTAATTAGTGATGTGGGAAGGCCCAGATGGTTGTGGGTGGTGCCATCCCTGTGCTGTGGTCCTGGATGCTATAAGAAAAGCAGGCTGAGTAAGCCGGTAAGCAGCACTCTCCATGGCTTCTTCATCACCTCCTGCCTCCAGGTTCCCATCCAGTGTGAGTTCCTGCCTTGGCTTCCCTCAAGAGACTGTCACTCAGGGTATGTGAGCCTTTCCTCCCCAGTTTGCTTTTGGTCATGATGTTTCATCACAGCAATAGTAACCCTAACTAAGACATAGCTACTCTTCCTTGCTCCAAGTTGGGCTCAGCATGACAGAGATGTCAAGCACGTGCCATCTTGACAGGAAAGACAAGGAGAGCGCTCCACTACATCACGGGAAGCATATTCTTAAACAGGCGCCACATTCTCTGCAAGTAGACTCCTGAAATTTTACATTTTAAAACATGCGAAAAAAGGCAGAGAAACAAGTATTCAGTGTTTAACGGGATTAGTTTTGACAATGTACAACTTCACTGATATCATTTCTTAGAAATATGGCCCACATCAAATGATGGATTTCCTGACCTTAACCTGGATGCCATGTAACCACATGAAATAGCAATTTGGGTCACAAATATGATAAAGGAAACCAAGAGAACCCCAAAGACCTGCAGTAAAGGATTGAGTCAATGTGTGCTTATACATGTTGACAAGCAACTACTTGCCAAGAGGTAGAAAGAAGCAAAGAGTGAAAACCTTTCTCACAGGCTCTTCCGTGTGAATGACTTCAATGCAAACAACATGCCTAGCAGGTATTAATGAGCAGACTTTGTTCTCGGAGCATTTCCAGCAAAGTCCGTCCAAAAATAAAAAATGAAAATCCTTCCTCAGTAAATACTGCTTTTGAAATGCAGCAACAGAGATGAAACAGCTTTGCTGAATTATCCTGTCTTCCAATATTGTAACTCTCTGAGTTATGTAAAGATTAAAATCCAGTCTGAAAGTTTGACGTACTAAACACACAGGCATCCTCCATAATTTCTTCCCAGTGAAGACTGAAAAGTTAATTGAAGATGGGGGGCAAATACAACACCCCATTTCAATTCTAAAAGCTTAATCTAAACTTCTCAGTTTGTCCCAAAATCTAGACTTCAACTTTGCACAAACACAATTAAGTTTGGCTAAATGAGTCATTAGCGGGTAGGGGGTGGGGTTATCCGGACAAAAAATACTGACACTTAACTCTAACTTCATTGGTCCCAAAGGCTTACTTCCAACTGATGGAATGGGTCACATTAGAATTAATTCTCTCAGAAAATTGAACGTGACACAAACATCCTCATTGTCCACATTCACACACGAGACTAGAAGACAGCAATTTCAGTCTGTTTAAACAGAAGCTAGTTGTTAAATACATGCTGTAAAATCCCTACTAAGAGAGTTCAAGATCACTCTCATACCCACTTTTTGACCCTCTCCCCTCACTGTTCATACCAGCCTCCAAATTATATCTGAACAATTATATCCCCAATGTTGATTCAGCATGAATTACTTAGGGAAGGGGTTAAAATTTTAAATTTAAGATTTATTTTGAACATGTTATTTGACCAGCTATGCTCATAACTAAAAATTCTACTCTCCTGTTCATAACTTTTTATCAGCAGGAAACAAATTACCTGCAGACAAAGACAACTAGAGTAATGGTCACCGGGCTGAACCAGGAAAATCAAGACCCAGGTTCACTTTTTCATGAATCTGCACATCAACTATGTAGGACAATGTGTTAATTCAATCTCATGCTTTCTCAGATGTTCTGATGAGTCAGAATAGAGAGCTCAAGAAAACAATCAAAACACAAACTTTCTTCCATCTAACCCAAGTTATCAGCTGAGGTGCTGAGGCCTAAAATCTACTTCACATAGAAGATAGTCTAGACCAGTCTCCTCAGGAAATGTACCAAAAGGAGTCATCCCTGTGCAGGCTTTACTAGAAAAATGGTTCCCCTTGTAAATGCTGTCACTGACAAAGTCATTGGTTCCAGAACACACTGGAGCTGATTTAAGTCGGAGGGCACAGGGTGACTAAGGTTTCAACAGTTTCTTGATGTAGCCAGTGAAGCAGTGAGGCAGACAGTGAGGTGAACAGTGAATGTAATCAGTCAGGCAGTCAGTGAAGTAAACAGTGAGGTAGACGAAGGGCAGTCAGCAGACAGTGAGATGATAAATCAGTAGACATTCAAGAGATGGTCGGTCAGTGAGAACAGCAATGGTAGTCAGGGAGGGAGAGAGCGAGCTAGGCAGCAGACAGTGAACGTAATCAGCTTGGTAAGCCAGTGTGGTGAGGTACTCAATAAGCAGACAGACTCTGAGGCAGCAGACAGTGAGAGCGTGAGGTAAACAACTCGGTAGTCAGTTAGGTAAGCAGTGAAGGTAATCAGTGAGGTAACCAACGAGGTAGACAGAGAGGGTAGTGAGATAATGATGCAACCAGTGAAGCAATCAGTTAGTGAAGCAGTGAGACAGACAGTGAAGAAATCTAGCTGGTGAGCTGGTGAGGTAGACAGGCAGGGGAAAGGGAGACAGTGAGGGAGCCAGTGAGGTGCCCTGTCAGTGGAGCAGACAAGGAGGGTAGCCAGTGGGGTAGCCAGTGAGGTAGCCTGTCAGTGGAGCAGACAAGGAGGGTAGCCAGTGAGGGAGCCAGTGATGTTCCCTGTCAGTGGAGCAGACAAGGAGGGTAGCCAGTGGGGTAGCCAGTGAGGTAGCCTGTCAGTGAGGTAGTCAATGAGAGTAAAGCCAGTGGGATAACCAGTGAGGCAGACCGTAAAGGTAGTCAGTGAGGCAGTGATATAAACAGTGAGGTAGTCAGGCAGTGGGGTAGTCAATGAGGGCAGACAGTGAGGTAGAGAGTTAAGGGAGTCAGTGAGGCAGAGATGTAAACAGTGAAGCAATCAGTGACATGGACAGTAGGTAGACAGTTAACGAGGCAGTCGGTGGGGTAGCCAGTCAGGTACTCTATGTGGTTAGGCAGGGAGGTAGACAGTTAAGGTTCCTTGGCAAGTGGTTTTGAGGGATCCACCTGACGCACTAGGACTTTACAGAAGGGGGGAAAGGGGCTTTGAGGCCAAGCTTGCATCTTGGATGTAAACAGAAATCACACATAGGCCTGGCCATTAAAAACAGAATAGGTGCCCAAGTGGCTCAGTGATTTTCCAGAGGTGAGAGTTAACATCAAACGCTTGCTGCCATTAGATACCATCTCATCCCCCCCCCCCCCCCCGCCCCGTCACTGGAAAAGGGCACATCTATTTCAGAAAAAAAAAAGTCATTTTTCCTTCAAGGAGGGCAGAGGTGTGGAGCCGTTCGCAGGGGCTGGGGTTGCAGGAGGAGGAGGGGCGTGAAAGGAAGGAGTGCTTTAAGGAGAGGCCCCACACCGGCCACTGCAGAGAGAAAACGGGAGGTGGGGGAGAAAAGAAATGTCTCTCGGGGAAGGGGGGGGGGCGGCAGGGCCGAGTGCAACCGGCTGGAGGAAGCCAGGTCGACCCCCTCCAGGATGCGAGCCGGGGTGCAGAGAGCGAGCGCCGGTTACCTTGGGACACCCGGGGGGGAAAAGGGGCAATCAGGATGGAGGTCTGCAGAGAAGAGGGAGGGCAGAGGCAGGGTCTCCTCCAAGTACGACCCAGGCAAGGAGATGGGCAAACAGAGGGACCTAGGGCCTCCCCGGGGCCAAAAGGCGTGGCCAGGCATCCTATTGACCGTCGCGAGACGCTAGGACAGCGCGCGGCTACCCTGCTCAACCCAGCCCGTCCAAGGGGCCCCGCGCGCGGCCGCAGCCCCCCGCCCCCCACCCCGCAGTGCTCTTACCTCCACACCTGCCCCATCTGCAGCAGGTGGATGACCGACTGCCAGATCCACACGGAGAGGCGGCACAGACGCTGCGCCCCCGGGGTGGCCGAGCCCCCCGCACCCGGGCCGCCGCGGGCCGCGCCGTGGCCGTAGCCGGCCCCCATCATTGGGGGTCCCCGGCTGCTGAGCCCCTCCACGGCGCCCAGCCCGCCGCCCGTGTAGTCCTGCACGAACCAGCGGAAGCTCAGGCTCTGCACCAGCAGCGACGGCACCAGCACGAAGAACAGGGTCAGCCCGAAGCAGCCGTAGTCCCCCTTGCGGTAGTAGTCGAGGGCCAGCCACAGGTCGGTACCCACGTCCCCGAAGAACACCAGCAGCGCTAGCACGATCCACAGGCAGTCGAGCCACGGCCGCTCCACCTGCGGCGACGCGGGCTGCGGTCGGCCGGCCGAGGGCGTCGGGGGGTGGCGGCCGGCGGCCCCGGGCGGCTGCAGAGGCTGGTCCCCCCCGTCGGCGGCGGCGGCGCTGCGGCGCGGCTTCTTGCCCAGCAGCGAGCGCAGGCAGGCGGAGCGGCAGCCCCAGTAGCACGAGGAGGTGTTGCAGCAGTGGCAGATGTGCAGCGAGCTGCTCTCGCCGGGCTCGCTGCCGTCGCCGCCGCCGCAGCCGCCTCCCCCGGGCTCCCCGTCCTCCTCGCCGCTGCCCACCGCCTCGTCCAGGTTGTGCAGCTGGGCGAAGCCCACCCCCACGCCACCGCCATCGGATTTCGCCGCCATCTTGACTCTCTTCCCAGCTCCGGAGGTTGGGGGGGGAGGGACGGGTGGGGGGGAGAAGGCAGGGACCGGGGAGGGGGGGAACGAATGGAGAGGAAGGGGGGCGGGGAGGAAGCGGGGGAGCAGACGAACGGGGGGAGTGGGCCAGGGAACCCCCTCCGCTTCCGGGCGGGTGGCGTCACTTCCGGGCGAGCCCCCCAATCGCACGGCGCCCGCAGCCTCCTGGCCCTACCCTGCCGGCCAAGATGGCCGCCCTCCTGTGCCTCAGCTGCTGGGCGGGGGACCGGGGGGTTCTCCCCGCCAGGGCTCCCCTTCCCCTCTTCCGTTGACCCCGAAACCCATCAGGTTGACCCCTCGGCGTTTCAGAATCCCGCTGGGCTGAGTGAGGCGGTCCAAAGTGTTCTCTGGAGGAGGCAGTGCCAGACGTTTTGGGGTCCCCTTCCTCTGCGTCGCAGCTCTCAGCTTTGCTCTGGGAGAAACGCCCCCTAACACCCGGCCGGCTTCTGGCGGAGGGGCGGGACCTCTGAGGGAAGGGGCGGAGCTAGTGCAAAGCAGGTGATTACTTGTCACTTCCGGGAGATAGGATGACCTCATTGTGTAGTTAGACACCCACCCCCCCACCCCCCATCAAAATGACTGTGTCTCACCTCTTGGGCTGTTTTGGTTTTTTGTTGGTTTTTTTTTTTCCTCTTACCTCCGTGTTATTTTCTTATCTTAAGGGGCTCTAAAAAAAAAATTACATAAGTCAGCATAGATTCCACAAACTTACTGATTCACACTTTAGGCACCTCTCATCTGTATTGACCTCCTGATTTTCCTGGCACTTGATAACTTTCCCATCTTCTGTAATAAAGTTTCCAGCATTCCCTCAAGAAAATTCTAGGAAAAATCTAGCTAGAAATCAGCCTGGCTACCTCTCTCATGTTGTAGCAAGAATTGAATGGGCATCTTGTGACCTTGAATGTTTTCTGCACAATCCATCATTTCTACCAACATTTTTTTTTTTAGTGTAATTTTAAAACTCTGCAAAGACCTTAATTTGAAAAAACAGCTTAAGCTGTATGTATCAATTACTTGTTCAGACAATTTCAACGTGTGAAACTTGTCTTTGAGAGTTTTTGGGGAGGTGCTAAGGCTCTGTTAGTAAACATGGCTTTAAGTGAGTGAAATTTCTGTTAATGTGCTATATCATTAAAATAGGTGCACAGTATACTATGTAAGCTTGGCTAACAAATTGCCCAAGCAAGGCAGCACTGAGTGGATTTGAATTACAATGCCCTTTCGGTGGAAGGCACAGCAAACTGCTCGCTTCTTACTGATGAGTTGCAAGAAGGACTTTGAAGAGAAAAAGTGAAAAGAAAGCACTGGGGTTTTTCTCATCTACCTCTGTAGATTCTTGAATCCACTTTCCGTGAAGTCTAATAATGGCAATAACTTCTTGTAGAATGCTAAGAAGACAGATAGGCAATGTGTTTATAGCATTGAGGTTCTGTAGGAAAAAAAATTACTTGGACAACTTTAGTAGTTGCTTTGATGCATATGACATTTAACGCTCTAGGAGTTCCTCAAGTTTTGAGGATGACTATAAAAGAGGAGACTACCCCATTGTAAAACACAAGTTTTCATGAGTATATATGCCAAAATAAACCCTATAAAGACTGAAAAAAACTAATTGGAGAGGATTGTACTTACATATTAGAGAAAGTGATTCTAAAATCTACCTTTTGAAAGAAACCACATATCTGCATCTTTTATTTCTTACTATAGTTTAATCATTTTGCTTTCTTGGGTAATAAAACAGAACTAACAGGTAAAAATTATTTCTGCATATAGATGAGAGACTGCTTCTTTACTGGATTTGAAATAACACCTTAAAGGTGTGTGTTGAATACAGTTGCTCAAACTTGGATTCTAGTTTCATTAAATTGGTAACATGAATTAAATAATTAACGATAATCTCTTTAAACCTCGGTTTTCACCTTTATATCATGGGAACAATAATACTTCCTTCTTTGAAAATGTGCTTAGTAACAACCTATTCAAAGCTCTCAACATGATACCACATAGGTACTACACAATAAATAAATGGTAACTGCCTGTGTTATTGTCGCCATTACTGTTACTGTTATGTTTGCATCATGCCTACATATATCTACTTAAACTCCATGAAATAGATTTGGTGGCTGTAATAAAAGAAATCATTTTGAAATACTTCCAGGAAATGAGTGCAATTAATTTGTACTTTTAAATATATTTTCTTTATTTAAACTGTGGAGCTATGAAATAAGATACAAAAGCAGGCAGTAATAGCATATTACTTATTTTTCCGTGTCCTGAAAGAACAGAATCCACTAGTGAAATTAGCTAAGTAAATTACACTCACTAAGGCTGACAAAAGAGACGATGAATCAAAAAGTGTCACAATTGAAATTTCAAGTAGACATGCAAGATTCAGTCTTTTCAAGTGATTTCAACTTTGTAATTGCTGGCTCAACAATTTTATTATTCGGTCTTGTTTGGAAGGGTAGAATATATTCTCCAGTCCAGAGGGTTCTAAAACTGCAGTCAGTTATGATGATAATAAACCTACCACAGAGACTGAAAGATCAACTCAAGGCCTCATACATGCTAAGCATATGCTTTACCATCCACTTTCACCTAGTTAATCTTTCCTGTTCTAGTCAGCCTTTTCTTGACAGCTTGGTTTTGAGATGGCCTTGTGCTAGTGGCCACTCAGGCCTACTAAGCACCTTTGTTATAGTGCTAGTGTGGCTTTTTCCTAATCTTTTTTTTTTTTAACCTTTGCTTTCTATAATTCAGTCAGTTAAGGATTTGACCTTATGTTTCTACTACTATGTAAAATGAAAAGCTAAAAAACACAGCATGTTACAATTACATATAAATTAATTCTAAATACATTCAAAGAGCTTTTATGGGTATGGTAAGGTAGTTTTACCATATGGAAGTTGTGACATAAATCCTGTTTGGAAGCCCTTAGGGTTTCCTTCTTAATTCCTTGCTATTTTCAGAAAGGCAAAGAAGAAAGTTGGTGTTGAACCCTATTTTATATTAAACACTCTCCTAGATTGTTCCTTTTAGATCTTACAGCAGTCCCAAAAGTCTCAGGAGTTCCTTCTCCATCATAATCAGCTCTGCTAAATGACTTCTCCTGAGTCACACCCTATGCCATCTGCTCTACCACCATCCTGGTCCAACCCACTGGTGCCATCCCCAAAGGATGTCACATCACTCACTGTATTAGTTATAGGAAGGACCCTGTCACATTTCAGTGATGACACACATCTAGGAGACAGAACACTTGAATTCCAATATGGGGGTGAATGTCAGCAAACAGCAAACAACCTCTTTGAGAGACTTCTGCATATGGTCCTCACATGTTTTTGAGCCTATGTAAGCTTCCTAACAGTAAGTGTACATCCCCCTTATCATTTCCATGCCTTCTATTTTACTGACTTCTGTAGAAATAGAACTTCTTTCAGAACTGCAGAGTAAAGTTATAGAACCTGGTATTTTGACATTTGATGTTAAGAATTGAAGTTTAGGCTGGAGAGATGACTCCATGGTTAAGAACACTTGCTCTTGCAGAAGACCCAGGTTTGGTTGCCAGCACCCATACCAGGTAGTTCACAACCACCTGTAACTCCTGTTCCAGAAGGTCTGGTACCCTCTTCTGGCATCTGTGGGCACCCGCACCCATGTGACATAGACTCACATAGACACACATACACACACACACACACACACACACACACACACACACACACACACATACACAGAGAGAGAGATGGGCGGGAGGAAAGAGAAAGAACTGAAGTATTGGCTGGTGGTATAAAATGGTATAAACTCTACAGAGGAGAAGTAGACACTACTTGTCGGATTACAAATGCTATTACCCTCTGAGACAATAGCCTTCCTTATGGAAGTTTATCCTGTAGATAAATATGCACACATCAGAAAGTACAAGTAGGACTAGAGATGTGACTCATCAGTAAAGAGCACTGGATGCTCTTCTGGACAACCTGAGTTCAATTCCCAGCACCCACATGGGGGCTCACAACTGCCTCTAACCCCGTTTCCAGGGGATCTGATGGCCTCTAAGGTCATGAGGCTCACACATGTTACACAGATGTACATGCAGACAAAACACCCATGTATATAAAATATTTTTTACATTTTTTATTTTTAAATATTTTTCAAGTAATATATTTTGATTGTATTCGTTCCCTTCCCCCAAGTCCTCCCAGATCCTCCTCACTTTTCTACCCACCCAACTTCATTTTCTTTCTCTTGTTATGAAAACAAAAACAAACAATGACAAAAAAGAAACCACCAAACCATAACCAAAAATGCACACATAACTTACCTAGTTTCAAATTCATAGCTTCATTAACATTGTCACATATGTATTCTATCTCATGAAGTGGTTGGGTAGTCCCATCACATTTATGCCACTGTTGCAGCAACATGTATATCACATGTATTGGATTATGAGCACAGATACACATGTAGCCAAAACACCCATGCACATAAAATAAACTTTTAAAAAGGAAAGTATATGTATAGTCATATAACTCAGTTCTTCATGTAGCATTTTATAATCACATGAAAATATGAAGAGGGTAAAAGATCCAAATGTCAATTCAAGGGGGCAACTATTAGATACATTATGGTGTGTCTATGTGGCAGAATATGATGTGGTGATATTGAAAATGTCAATTTTTCCTTTTAGTTATGTAGAATGAGTTTTACAATGTTGTGTTATAAAAAAAGAACAAAGTGCAATACACTAGAATATGCTCTGTTTTCTGTAAGAATGTAGAAGAGGTGCATTTATTATCTGTTCCTTTTGCTTATTTCTATATAAAGCAATTTTGGGAAAAGGGCCCAAAAAATAATTAAAACAATCAATTCCATATAGAGTAGTGTTCTAGATGTGGCAAAATTGTGTGAACAGAAGCTGGGATATAAAAATAATAAGGCTGGAAGGTGTTTGGAGGTGGCAGGTGATGTGCGCATACCTACTGTGCCACAGAGGTGGATAATACAGTAGAAGCAACCCTAAGAGGCCATTATTGATAATAACAGCATTGAAGATTCTGTGAAGACATTGTTTGGCTCTAAGAACTCCTAAGTCTGACATTGATGAATTGATGGAAACCTTTCTGGAGTTTATGTGTGTTTTCATCTGTGTTACCTAAGCAAGAATAATGAGTTTCGTGAGTTCATTTCCCGAAGAGTGTTACAGCTTCATCATGTATACACAACTTCTGTGAAATGGATTAATTACTCCCAACTGAAGGAAAATGAGAGGCAAGCACTAACAAATTAAATCAGAAAGGCATTTCTGAGAATCAGTGTGATACATATGTCCCCAGATTGAGCATTTGAGATTGGAGAGAGGAATTTGGCCTTTTTACAGCAGATATCAATCCCTTAATTTCCTATTTCAGCCCAACTATAGCACTTTGGACAAGTTACTTCAGCTCTCAGTTTTATTTTCCTTGTATGAAAAAAATGGCTAATAGACTGTTCCCTCCATAAGCTCGCTATAAGATCAGTCATGGTACACAGTAGGTGCTAAGTAGGCATTGGCCCTCCCTCCCCAGTTACTTTCCTGTTCACTCCTTGAATCTGCTGCCCAGACTGCCACAAACTAAATTGCTTACAGCCACAAAAACATACTGTCTTACCCTTCCCAAGATCAAACTCCAAAAGGCATCTTGCTGGGCTAACCCTCGGTGTTGGCCAGGCTGTGTTCCTCCTGGGGACTGTGAGAGAGGATGTGTTTCCATGCCTTTTCTGGAGTCTTGAATCTGTCAGCATGCTTTGGTCATTTCCCTTTCCATCTTCAGAGCCAGCCATCACTTCACTCCCACCTCTCAATTTTCTCCTTCCTCACTCTGACACCCTCCCGCCCTCATCTGAGGGCGGGATTTTGCCTTGGTGAAGACAGATTTTGTGTGATACACCAATTCAAATGTTCATTTCTTCCAAAAACACCTTCTCCAAACAGCCAGAAATAGTGTTTCCCCCAGCTGTCTTGGCGTCCCTTAACCAGTCAAGCTATTACATAAAATTAGCCACAATGGACGTTAACAAAACAGACAGGTTTGGATTCCAATGTCAACATTTTCTATGTGAATGTATTTGCTGGTTATAGAACTTAGATTAATTCAGGTTGAGTTTCTGAGTGTTAAAAATATTACTTTCTGTGCACCCCCCCCCCCCCACTACAAGGCGTGTGGTAAGAAACTCTTTTTTAGGCTTATTGGATGATTTCTAAATCATAAGGAAATACAAAACCATAAAGAACTATTTTCATCCAAGTAGAGGCCTTCTATCTAATCTCTCCCATTTATATTTTGTTTGTTTTCCCTGCAGCCCATTTACCATCACCAGATAAGATGGAATGGATCACTATTACCTGCCTTACCAAATGCAAATGACATGCTTAGCTTTCAGATCATCCATAGCCTCATTCCACCTTACACAGTTATTAATTTCCACCATTAGCCAGTGCACACCCCAGGCAAGGAACTGCCCTCCTTGGGAACATGTATGCTGTGTTTCTCCATGCCAGACCTTCTGATCTTGCTTTTTAGGCATTTCCAAAGTCTTCCTCCTCCACTTTTCGTACCATTGTCATTCGAACCAGTATTTTCAATGAAGGAGATGTAAAGGAAACAGCTCAGTGGATAAAGCAATTGCCACTAGAGAAACCTATGGAAATACTGGATGAATGTGGTAGCCACCCCATAATTCAACACTACTCAGGCAGAAACTAAATGCCCAGGAAAGCTGGTTAGCCTGTATTGGTGAGCTCTGGGTTCAAGTGTGAGCCTGTCCCGTATACAAAGTGGGGAACAATTGAGGAAGCTACCCAATATCAACCTTGGACTTACACTCATGTGTACCCATATACACACATGTGCCCATATACATACATGCACGCGTGCACACACGCGCGCACACACACACACACATACACAAGAAAAAGGAATTTTTAAGGAAAATCTACTGTTTAAAAAAAAAAAAAAAAAAGATGTCCTGCTAGTAAAGGCTCAAATTCCTTCTTATCTTTCAATATGTATTTTAAATTTCACCTCCTTCAGCAAAAATGCCTTGCACTGTTTCAGTTCCACACAATGCCTTCTTTCTCTTTGCATTAATTTGCTCATGTTCACTC